GGGACGAGGGGAGCCCGAGGCGTCGGGGGGTCTTATCCCCTCGTCGGTGTGGCCGGCGAGGTGGTCGGGCGGGAGCCCTGACCCTGTAGCGACGCGGCTCAGGGAACAGGAGAACACGACCGGGGAGGGAGTGGACTGGACCAGTTGGGCCTGCTGGTCCGGGTGGCCAAGGCCCAGAGGGGGCACGGGGGCTTCTCTCCTTTTCCTTTTAATGAATTAAAAAGCAATTAACTTACTATTTAGGCCACGGTTTTAATTACACTAGGGCATTTAAGCACTTAGTAAAAATGTTGGCTCACCACCAATATTAACAAATGAAAATTTGCCGCAAGATGAACATTTTATTTTAGACATTTGAAAATTTTTGAGTTTGACTTGATTTTGATTTTGAATTTGAACGGGGTTTGAATCAACGTGAGTTTAATAACAGCAATCATGACGACGTGGCATCATTAGCAGGGAATTACTGTAGTTTAAATATCCTGACGTCACATTCTCTCTTTCAAAGGCAGCCCATGTGCTTTTGTTTTGTTGTCTAGACTAAAAGTTCTTTCGACTCAACTGGAGTGACTGCCGGTGTATTCATCTCTTTTGAAAAATACAGTAAGTAGCAATGTCTTTGAGTTGGTAAGATTAGGAAGGCAACAAATTAAATAATCTCCTTATACATAACCCGTAATGAAACACTACAACAAAGAGCACAAGACAATCATCTTTGAGAGTAACAGTTGACAAGACTGAATAGAGATATTGTCAAAATGAAAGCTGAAGAATCACTACTTCATTTCCAGCCCAGCGATTGCCTTATACCAGAAAAAATGAGCCCCAAAGATCTCCCTATCATGGACACCCAGAAGTAGGACACCGCAGCGCTGACTCTAGCCACGACTGCCCGTGCAAAAGGCATTGCAATATCCGACAACTCCAAGAAAAGGCTGTAGTAATACCTCCTGCAGCAGATGACGGAGAAGAATGTTACACTTTTTTTTATAAATCTTAATCCAAGCCGCACAAAAAATACGTTAATGATTTTTTTCATGAAACAAAGAGCAGACAAGAGGCGGACGATACCACCCAGTCAGAGCTCTTAGCTCCTTTGTCCTTCTAACTGGAAGAGAAAATGGGCTTATGCAAACATAATCCAGGCGAGTAGATGTCGAAGGCTTTCGAAATGCATTAGTCAACCAATTAGTTTTATCAGGCCGATTATCTGCTGTGTTCTTGCATGATCTTCTGCATAGAACATATAACTCAAACCTGTCCTCGTACATGGAAACAACTGACTCGAAATACTGGTGCAGCCACCCGTTAATTGCCACCTTCGAAGAGATAAAATAGATTAGCATGCAATTATGAAAACCTAAAAGTGCATTAAAGTTGGAATATTAGGACTTCACAGTATCAAATTACTGAATAGGACACATCAAAACATAAGAATTTTTCCAAGAAAATGATAACAGGAGAATTAAGGACAAGGGCAAATGGAATAATGGATAATCCAGAATTAGACTATTCATGTGTGTCCTTAAATACTCACACAAATATATTTGCTTGGCAGTAAAAAAAGCTTATCAGGTCAAAAGATGACAATACTAATATATATACTCAACAGAGTAATAAAGAACAACATCAGCTTATACAGCCCACAAACATTACCTCATTACGCCGCTTTTGAAGTTCTCTTGTCGACAGAGAACATAGAGCTAAGCTGGAGCCAACAACCTCAGTAGGCATGTCACCATCAACTGACATGATCTCTAGATAAATACTAGCAATCACATCAGCCAAGAAAATTACCAGGTCCTCCAAAATCCTTGCTCCATTTTCAGCCAGAAATTTAGTATCAAAATAGCTGTCAGACCTGCCACCACGAAACAGAGAATAAAGATGTAACTATGGACCTTAGGGAGGTCTATTACATTCTTACATATGGCATTAAATTGAAAATGATTAGAAATTGAACAGAACGAGTCTAAGCATCAAGAAGGGCAAACGGATAGTACCTTGCAGAACCAAATCTTACAAAAAAGAGCAGGTCCAAATAGAGCTCAACTTTCCCTAATCTGTTGAATCTCTTCAAGATCCCATTGTCTTCGTTTATTTTTCTGCTAATCACCATCATAAGCTTCTGGAACAGAAAAGGAATAAAAATAAGATAATCGGAGGTTAGCCAATATGGAGAAATGGAGGGCAGTTCAAACTGATGATATACTTCATCGATCTTGCCATTTTCCAGGGCTTGCTCTTCTTCGATCCATTTCATAAATGCTGGTTCAATCAAGCTATCTATCAACATAACTGACACTTCCGACCACCTGATCCCATCTAGAAGTTCAAAACTTCCGGAAATATTTCTTGCCTGCATGAGATCAGACCACGTTATAGCATGTATATGAATTTAAAACATACTATAACATTGACAATAATTGGGTCAAATGCTACTTCAACATAAAGGATATCTTCAAAATCAACTGCACTTTACTCCAGAAATTCTGGTGTTCAACCATAATGATTTTATTCAACTAGTCAACGAATATTTGGAAAACACCGATACAACGTGGACTATGATGCTACTTAACCAACAAAAACATACAGGAAGAGAGAGAGACCATTTTGGTACATAACAGCTCAGCTACTGCCTACTAGCTTATCTAAACTCGGAGAAGTATGCATGGGCAATCTTCAATACACTAATATATACACAAAATATTTATGAAAAATAAATTATAGTGCATTTCTTGCCTCCATTTCAAGAAGTTGAAATGTGATCAGAAGAAGCCGCAACTTGGGACCTCCATGAATTGCAAGCATACTCAAAGGATAGTTTTTCCTATCATTTTTTAGTTCTTTGTCTCTGCTATCAGAACTGGCATCTTGACCATTTGCTTCTAAGGCTTCAGAAAGCTTAGCCCTCACTTCATTCCATGTATCATTGGGGTCAGAAGCTGTACTCTTGTCAAGCAAACGTTTTCCATTCCTAACAATTGCCAGAGAAAACTGCATTAGCAGTCATAATTTTTCCTGTAAAAAAATGTTTTGACACCTAAAAGCGACATTAAAGCAGCTACTCTTACCTACCAGAATCAGAGGAGATTGATGCTGTAAGATGTTGATTGGCGCTGGGATTTTGGGTGCGGGGTATTGTAGGTCGAGAGGGTGCAACCCCAGCCAAATACGCAAGAACTACGCTGATAGTCAGAAGTGCTTCATCAGAAAGCAACATTAGATTTGGTGAGATCACACTCTCTGAACCCATCATTGACTGAAAGAAATAACATCCAACTTGAGTCTCCAGCTTGTAACCCCTTCCATGAAAATTATAAGAGGTAAATGCGCAGCTTTTCCACTCTTTCGCTAAATTGAATTTGGACATACATGGAAGGGGAATTTTATGAATGTAGTTCCTACAAATATGGAATAGCCCAAATGAAATATAAGTATATAACCCAACAACTCTAGATGGTCCATATTAGTAATATCACAAAAACCAAAGAACAAAGCTACCTCTTTGATATCCTGATTGATATGTTTCGTGGGGAGAGCTTGCCGCTGGATTGGGTCCATCCCCCACGATACTGGCCTCCCAGTGTTGTCAAGGAGCACCCGGCCATTACAACAGAATCCCCAGGTCTTGATCAAACCATCAAAAACGTAGAGAAGGAGAAACAAACATGCCTCCTGCACAACAAAGTAAGGATAATAATCTTAGGGGGCATTTGATTATTTGCCACCATTTACTTTGGACTTTGATATTTTGCCACCAATTACATTGTAATTGATCTGGTGCCACTTTTTACTTTGCACTTTTGATAGTTTGCCACTTTGTAACACAAAAACAATCTTTGCAAATGTCGTAAATGATCTATGGACAAAACAGTGGACCAAATGCCCCTTCTACTAGTTTGACCAGTGTGCACTGTGCACCCTGATTCCCCAATTGAAATCGTGGGGAGGGGATGAACACTAGTTCCCCAATTGACCGGTGTGCCACCGCTGCTGTTCCCTGCTGGTGCCGCCCACGCCCCCTGCTGCCGATGTCGCGCCCTGCTGTTCAGCGCCTCCACTTGCCGCTGCTGTTGCCTCTTGCTGCTAAGTCGGTGCGTGCCACAACGCTCAAGAAGCAGCACGCAGCTCGCAGCATCAACGGCAGCAGCGCCCAAGCATCAACGGCGGCAGCGCTCAAGCAGCAGCGGTCCTCCCGCGCACTCAATGGCCGGCGGGACAGTGGAGGGAGTGAGGGGCTCACCTTCCTGGCCGAGATGCAGCCGCCGTCGTCGTCGAGGAGTAACGAGTGCAAGCCGCCGCCACCGCCGTCTATTGAGTTCCTGTGGGCGAGAGGAAGGGGAACGAGATCTCTTCTCCGGTTCGTGGTCAATCCAGGGACGGGGGTATTTTGGACATTTTTTGTGGCACCCATAGACAGAGGCAAAAATATCAAAGTTTCATGTAAAGAGTGGCAACGGACAATTACAATCTAACCAGTGGCAAATTATCAGAGTTCAAAGAAACTTGTGGCAAATTGACAGAAATCCCTTTTTATATAGAAAGAAGTTCATATTTCACCCCTAAATGTGGCATAATGGACAAATACCCCCGAACTCTAATTTGGTATGATTTTAATCCTAAAATCTTCAAAACCGGATAAATGCCCCGCTAAGTGGTTTTGCTGTTGGTTTTACGGATTTTAGCTTGTTTTAGAAAATGAGTAGTCATTGGCACTTTTAACATGGCATCAACAGCTTGTTTTTGGTTCCATCGGACCAGTCGCTCCATTCCTTAGCTGCAACGGACCAGCACAGTCGCTCCATCAGCGAATGGCGACGAGGATGCGTGCGCGTCCATTGGATCTCGTCGCCGGCCGCCCAGTGAGTCTTGCCCGTGAGAGCACCGCACTAGACGGTCATGGTCGGTGGCTACTGGCAAAGAGCCCCGAGCACCACTATAGGCGCCCTTGACACGACCCACCTCCATGTGCTGCACAGGCACACCGCCGTCGCTGCCATGTCCTTGGGTCACTGTTTTCGTAGATATAGTAGCAGAGTTCGTGTGAGCACAAAATACGGTAAAATCAGGACGTTAGGCACCGATCAGGCTGAAGCCTAGCATCATTCAGACAACGTATGAGTTAACTGAAATAAAATCCAGGCAAAGTGTTGAAAGAAATCAAAATTTAATGTCTGTTTCTTCTGCTAAACTTTAGATTGCTTGGGAGGGGAAATATGAATATAACCAACTTGTGCTCTGTTTTCACGGCTCAGTGTTTCTGAATGTAGTCAAGACCTGACCTGAATATCAAGTCCTCAGCTTAACACGATACCAGTATCCATTTCCATCAAGATGGATAATGCTAACATAAGCAGAACATCATGTGACTAAGCGACAACGAATGCACCATCTTTAGGACAGAATTCACACATCATCGAGTCATCATCAGCGGACCATTTCAGTTCAAACATAGGGGGCATCCGAAGTCTGAAACTCTGTTCTCATCCTGAAGAGAATTGAGTCCCTGTAAAAGCAGCCCCACCCACGAGTAGTACTTCTACTCAGCCACAGAAATATAGAAACTAGTCATACAGTAAAAGAAACATGATTTGCTCTCTAATATACATCACATCTGCATGATCCATCAAACTAATCACATGTACATGGAGTATATCCAACAGCTCATGGCGTCGCTAACACACTCGTCAAGGCATCCCTTAATGAAACAAACACACATCATGGCGCCACTTACGGGCGTCCTCTCCGCCCAATGAACGAGAACATGGCATGGAAGAAAGGCTCAACGAGAAAACCCTATATTGCGCGCCTTGATAGCCCTACAAAACAGAGGAGGCAGGACAAAAAATGTGGGGCACTAGGTTCGCATCACGTACCTCCATCCATGGCTTCAATCGGATCAGGAATTACTCGCCCTGATCATGAGTTGTGTCGGCGCCGACGGCGGCTGGCGAGAAGCGGCCCAAGGAGGCGAAACGACCAGCAGATTCAACTTGGCGACCAGGGTCAAGCGACACAACCCAACCATGCCATGTCAGCACTCTTTAACGGGAAACCGCCTAAAATCAGCACCAAAACCTCTCAAGGGGGACATTTACCCGGGTTTGAAGATTTGAGAGTCAAAATCATACCAAATTGGAGTTCAGGGGGGTATTCGTCCATCACACTACATTTGGGGGTGAAATATGGACTTCTATATATATCGACCGGGGTTGAATTCTAATCGTGTTGCCCCACTACCGACGGGTGGTTGAATTCGAGTCGGTTTGTGAATCAGCCCAGTAACGAGCGGGGTTTATGGGCCCTTTCATGCCAAGGCCCTTCCTATACATTATCTTGGGCTGGCACCTAGGCCTACTATCCGGAACCAACAGCCTGAGCTACAAATACAGAAGCTGCATCATGAGTGTAAATTGACAAAACTAGCCCTTTTCTGCGAAATCACTAGTTGAGGAGCGCTCCCCGCAACAGGTAGTTGGGGAGCGCTCCATGCGCGACAAGTGTGACACGCGTAGCGCTTCTTAGACTTTATGGGGGTGCTCCGTGCGCGAACTTGTCGCGCGGAAGGTGATAATGAAGATTTCAGCATGTCTTCTCCTGAAACATTGAGTAAGAATTAGCTGCTAAATATATACGCATGGATCCATTGTTTTCTATCTAATGAGGTCTTCGTATTTCATACAATATAATTAATTATGTAATGCATATATATGTCGACAAATTATTGGAATTTAGCTACCATTTGTTCAATTGGAATTGTTGCGAAATCTGATGAATGTTCTTCCTGTGGACATTATTTGTTCAATTGCATATTGTGGTGAATTTGCCTTTTGCATGCCGATTCAAATGGGATATTTTTTGCTTTAACCTGGCAATTGCTCCACACACGGTTCAACTAAATGAGTATGTGCGATCCACATCGGAAAGCATAAGTCAATCGTAGCGGAACCGTTGGTGATACACAATAGATCACAGATGATTTGCAGCACTACTACGTGCGCGTAGGGGCTCCGGAACCGTTTGTGATACCACAATATCGCACACGAGAGCTCGGAGTAAACTGTGTCCAATGTAAAATACAATCTCAATCATAATTTTTTCAGGAAACATGTGATCCCAAATGAAAAGCACACGTCACTCTTACCGCAATCGTCGGTGATACACAACAAATCACAAATGGTCTGTACCACTTGTATGTGTGCGAAGGGGCTCCTGAATCGTTTGTGATAGAACATTATCACACACTGTAATTATTCGGAAACGCGTGCAATGGAGTCTTGCATGTCAGACGAGTTCCACAGAAAAGTCGTGTGCGATGGGGCACATATCACACATAGTTCATATGTTGGCCCGTATGCCTTACATACTCTTTCCCAAACGGTTCATTACAGTTGAGTTATGCAACACACACACTGCTTGTATTCATTTCTTCGAGGAGTACATATAGACAAATTACAATGAGAGAGAGAGAGAGAGCAGTGGATCGTGGGGTGCAACAGCAAGAGCCGATAGTGCCTAAACTTTAGGGATAACTACGCACGTAGAGCAGGTGGCTGTTGGAGAGCCTGAGGAATTGGTCATGCGGTCAGCCACCTGAGACGTGAGGAGTGGCCG